GAGAAGACAGTGCTACCCATGTCTAAATATTCACTTGTGCCAGTGCAAATGACTGTCAGATGAATCTTTAAATAAATCTGCTTTTTTAAGGATCATCGTTAGTCAGACTCATATCTTTACTGATGCAATGTGTGAGTCAATGCGTGTGTGTGTGTGTGTGTACGCGCTCACGTTGAAGCATATATTTCTGTGTTCTATGTATTGCAACACATACTTCCAATCATAACCCAAATCTTCAGGTCTGATAATCCAATCACCATTTTCACCCCAATCACCCGTTGCCTTAACCGCGCTCCAAGAATCGCCGATCCCAGTCAATCGCCCCCCACCCCCACCCCCTCTCAGCCAATGGCCGTCTCTGCCAATCCTACTTCATTTCATTTCTTTCAATCTCCACCCCTACCTCCACTTCCACTTCCTAATCTCCTCCTCCTCCTTCCCCTTCCTCTCTCCTCCTCCTCCCTCCCCCTTCCCCTACCACCCCTATCTCCTCCCTTCCCTACCACCCCCTATCTCCCTCCCCTTCCCCTACCACCCCTATCTCCTCCCCTTCCCCTACCACCCCCTATCTCCCTCCCCTTTCCTCCCTTCCCTCCCCTCCCTCCCTCCCATTTTCCTCCTTCCCCTCCCCCCTCCCCCTCACTGACCCCCGACTGACCCCTCCTGACCTCCCGCAGGAAGCCAGGATGACGGGGCGGAGCAGCAAGGACGGCACCGGCTCTTGGCAGGGCTTCGACGAGGGCCTCGAGGAGTACAAGGAGAACATGCTCAAGGACGAGTGGTTTCCAAGTGCGCGCGTACGTGGCCAGGGCAGCTGATGGGACAGGGGTGGGGGACAGGGCTTAATAGGAGCTAATAGTTAAGGTATTAGGGGAGTGAGATTTAATATGAGCTGATGGGACAGGGAGTGGGGGACAGGACTTATAGGAGCTAATAGTTAAAGTATTAGGGAGTGAGATTTAATAGGAGCTAATAGTTAAAGTATTAGGGAATGAGATTTAATAGGAGCTAATGGGAAAAATATTAGTGAATAGAAACTTGATAGGAGCTAATAAGAATAGTAGAGAATAGGACTTATAGGAAGTATTAGTAACAACGCATAGAAGTAAGTAAAAGTATTAATAGTAGGGTAATAGCAACAGTGACAGGTAATAGAAGTAATAGTAGTAATAGCAGTAATAGTACATAATAAAAATAGTAGTAGGTAATAGAAATAGTAGTAAGGAGTAGTAGCAATGGTAGGTCAGAAGTAGTAGGCAAAGGTATTAATAATAAGAGTGGCAAGTGTAGGCCTACTGTAGGGGGGGGGGGTGTAGGCAAGCGCCCCCTAGTGGAATTTCTTTACTTTGTTTCATTCGTTCTAAAAGTAGTGTTATGTTGCATCTGCGGGTCAATTTACATCACTCCATAACTCAGTTATTTGTTATTAGTAACTCTACATGTCAATCTTAACTTTCTAGTATTTTTTTCACGACTGACCTCCATTTCGTAACTCTACATGTCAATTTTATCTTTCTAATATTTTTTTCATTGACTTCTCTGTTTCGTAACTCTACATGCAATCTTATCTATTGTAAGGTCTTTTGGCTGAAATAAAGATTGTTATCACCTTTTGTCTGGGATCAAATTCCGTACGTGTTCACACATTAAAATCGATGCTAAGTAGATATATTTGCTAAGAAACACACTTCATTAATGAGTAAATAACAAATCCTAATAAATACATCCTTTGCGATAAATAAATTAATGAATCACATAAATACATTCTTTGTTGTACATTCTGCTACGAATTCTACAAGAACTTTTTTATTATTATTATTATTATTCTTTTCGTGGGGCAATATAGAGCTCGCACTTCATATAAGGTTTAATATCCAACATCTGCCTCTTTTTTCCCGTACTTACGAGCAACAAAACCCTTTATGAACCTATTTAAAAAAAAAAGACTTTTTACTATTCCAATTTCGCAGATAAAGGAGACAGCGCTGACATAGAACCCAATAATAGCTTTCCTTATTTCAAAATAATGTGAAATTCCAATTAAGATGCACTTAATCTAGACTCTAAATGTACCTATAGACCGTTGCCGCGTAAAGGATAATCAACTTAATAGAACGACAGTCATTAGCTTATTAATGACCCACACAAAGACCTCCAGCTGATATTTGCTTATTTGTCTTCTAAAGCAGTTAATGAAAGCCAATTAAATCTAAAAATATTAATCAATGCACGATGATTCATCCCTTTGGAACATGTCCATGCACATCAGCAAGTGCATAGACTGCTACATGCAAAAATAGACAGAAAGATAGATATCACTCTCAGAATTCATAAAGAAAAAAAATAGCCGCCATGGAAAGCACACGGATAAATGGAGAACCAAGCAACACAAAGATAACACACCATAATTAAATCATTAAGGACCCGCCCCCGCAACCCCAATCAGCTGGTGGGCGAAGGCCCCTCTAACCCCCCCCCCCTCCCGCAGAAGGACAACCCCGACGCCGAGAAGCACCTCCGCCGCCGCGCCAAGCGCCAGCAGAAGAAGAAGCTGCAGGAGAAGGACCGCGAGGCGCTCATGAAGAGCATCCCGGGCATGGCGTCCATCCTGCCGGCGCGCTCCGGCCAGGCGCCCCCCGTGGGCGCCGAGCTGGACGCGCCGCTCACCAAGACGCAGAAGAGGAGGAGGAGAAGAAGAAGGCCAAGGCGGAGAAGGCCAAGGCGGAGGCCGCCGAGGGGGCCGCCGAGGGGGCCGCCCCCGCCGAGGGCAAGGCCGCCAAGCCAGAGGCGCCCAAGCCTGCTGAAGCCAAGAAGGCAGCCCCTGCCAAGCCAGAGGCACCAAAGCCTGCAGATGCCAAGAAGGCAGCCCCTGCGAAGCCTGAGGCTGCTAAGCCAGCTGAAGCCAAGAAGGCAGCCCCTGCCAAACCGGAGGCTGCTAAGCCCGAGGCACCAAAGCCTGCTGATGTCAAGAAGGCAGCCCCTGCCAAGCCTGAGGCGCCTAAGCCTGCAGAAGCCAAGCCTGAGGCGCCTAAGCCTGCAGAAGCCAAGCCTGAGGCGCCTAAGCCTGCAGAAGCCAAGCCTACTGAAGCCAAGCCAGCTGAGGCCAAACCTGCTGAAGTCAAGCAGGCAGCTCCTGCTAAACCCGAGGTAGCAAAGCCTGCAGAAGCCAAGCCTGAGGCACCAAAACCTGCTGAAGCCAAGCCAGCTGAGGCCAAACAGGCAGCTCCTGCTAAGCCCGAGGCACCAAAGCCTGCTGAAGCCAAGCCTGAGGCACCTAAGCCTGCTGAAGCCAAGCCTGAGGCACCTAAGCCTGCTGAAGCCAAGCCTGAGGCACCAAAGCCTGCTGAGGCCAAGCCCGAGGCACCAAAGCCTGCTGAAGCCAAGCCTGAGGCACCTAAGCCAGCTGAAGCCAAGCCTTCTGAGGCACCTAAGCCAGCTGAAGCCAAGCCCCCCAGGGAAAAGAAGCCTTCAGAGTCGGAGAAGCCTCCGAGGGAGAAGAAGGTGTCCGAATCCGAGAAGGCCAAGAGGGAGAAGAAGCCCTCGGAGTCGGAGAAACAGAAGCGAGAGAAGAAGCCCTCGGAGTCCGAGAAGCCTCCTCGGGAGAAGAAGCCCTCGGAGTCCGAGAAAGCCTCCTCGGAGAAGAAGCCCTCGGAGTCCGAGAAAGCCCAGGGAGAAGAAGCCCTCAGAGTCCGAGAAGTCAAGAAGGAGAAGAGGCTTTCCGAGTCCGACAAGTCCGCCAAGCCCCCGGCGGAGGCCCCGTCAAAGCCAGACGCCCCCAAGCCACCAGTAGCCCCCGCCAAGCCTGCAGAAGCGCCTGCTAAACCAGAAGCCGTGCTAAGCCAGCAGAGGCTCCGCTAAGCCTGACGAAACTCCTGCTAAGCCTGTAGTAGCCCCCGCCAAGCCCACAGAGCCCCTGCCAAGCCAGGAGCGCCTGCGAAGCCAGCCGAGGCCCCAGCCGAGGCCCCAGCAAAGCCAGCCGAGGCCCCAGCCAAACCAGAAGCCCCAGCCAAACCAGCCGAGGCCCCAGCAAAGCCAGCCGAAGCCCCAGCTAAACCTGCGGAAGCCCCTGCCAAGCCCACAGAAGCCCCGAAGACTCCCGAAGCGAAGCCAGCCGAAGTCAAGCCGGAGCCCCCACAGAAGCCAGCCGAGCCCCCCAAGGCCCCGACGCGAAGCAGCAAGCCCTGCGAAGCCTGCAGAGCCCCAGGCCCCGCCAAGGCCCAGCCCGACGCCCCGCGAAGCCGCTGAAGCCAAGCCGCCGCGGACCCCTGCTGCCCTGCAGCAGCCCCCGCCCCCGCCCTGCTCCTGCCCCAGCCCCTGCCCCTGCCCTGTTCTGCCCCGCCCTACCCTTGCGCCGCCCCCGCTCCCGCCAGCTCCGCCCTGCTGCCCTGCCTACCGCGCGCCCCAGCGGCCCAGCGGCCCCTGCCGCTCCGCCGCCGCCCGCCCCGCCCTGCTGCCCCTGCCCCTGCCGCCAAGCCGGCCGAGGTCCTCGCGGGGCCCGTGCCCGGCCTGGCGCCCGCCCCGCAGCCCTCGCCCACCGCGCCCGTGCCCAACATCGGCGCCGCCTTCAGCCCCGCCCTGGACCCCGCCCTCGGCCCGGCCACGGGCGGCAACAAGCCCTCCACGTCGCCGCGCTTCGCCTCCACCTTCGTGCCGCCGGGGCCCGCCCTCGCCTCCACGCTGCCGCCCGCGCCCGTCGAGTCGCCGCAGAAGGAGCCGTCCTCGCCCACCCTCATGAACCTGCGCGTCAAGGTGGCCCCGCCCGCGCCCGCGCCCGCAGCGCCCGCGGCGCCCCCGCGCCCGCCGCCCCCGGCGCCGCCGCCCATGACCCCGCCAAGGCCAGCCCGCGCCCCAGCAGCCCGCCTTCCCCGGCTTCGGGCCCGTGCCGCAGCCGGCGCCCGGCCCCGCGCCCGGCCTGGCCCCCAGCTTCATGCCCAGCCTCGGGCCCTCCATGGGCCCCGCCCTCGGCGCCATGAAGGCCCCCGGCCCCGCCCCGCCCATGGGCCCCGGCCTGGCCCCCGCCATGGGCACCGCCATGGGACCAATCATGTCGCATGGACCCCCGGGCGCAGGCCCCGCCCGGCCCGCCCCGGCCCCATGTTCGGCGGCCCCCCGCCTGCCCCCATGGGCCCCCCGCCGCCCGTGGGCCCCCTGCCCGCCTTCCTGACGGAGGCGGACGACGACGACGTCATCATCCCGCTGCTGGACGAGGTGCTGGAGGACCTCCCGCCGCTGGCCCCGGCCGGCGCCGCGCCCGCGCAGGGCCCGCCCGCAGGAGCCCCGCCGGGCCCGCCCGCCCAGGCCCCAGGGGACCCCCGCCCAAGCCCCAGATGAAGAAGTAGACGGCGAGGCCGGCGGGCGCCCCCCCCGCCCTCCCCGCGCCCCCGGCCGAGCCCACAGTTGCAATGGTGTGACCTTCAGCTCCTGTTTTTTTTCGCTACGTATCTGTTCACTGAAGTCATGATTTTTATTATTATTCTCTCGAGTAAAACACTTGCCTTGCAGTCAGTCTTTCATCAAAATACAAAAAACAACCAAACGTTGCATTTATCATCACCAGAAAACAAAACTAGAAGAAAAAATAAATGTAAATATATAAATACCAAATCGAAGAAATCATAGACGCATTATTTTTCTTTCTTTCTATCTTTCTTTTTTTCTCTTTTTTCCATGAATTTATCTCTCATTTGCTTATATTTATTTTTCTTATACAACCTATATTTTTATCTTTTTCTTTTCATCTTCAATAAAATGGAAAAAAAATCAAAAAAAAGTTTTTTTCAGTACAAAAGATCTCTCAGTAATGTCATTCCTACGCTTCTGAAAGCGGATCTTGCAACTGCACAACCAAATTTGTTAATAAAAAGACGTTATTATGCGTGTGGCCGTTTCTCTTCCCTTTCTGTGGAGCCCGATTGCAATGTTGCATGACGCCCGTTTTCATATATACGAATGGTGATATTTTGGTAAAAGATAGAATATGAATGACACAATCGGATATTTTGGTAAAAGTTGGAAGAATATGAATGACACAACTGGATATTTTGGTAAAAGAATGGAGAAAATGAATGATACAAGACGAAAGAATATAAATGGTACAATTGGATATTTTGGCAAAAGATGAAAAAAAATATGAATAACTGGATATTTCGATAAAAGATGGAAGAATACAATTACATATTTTTGGTAAAAAAAAAGAAGAATATGGATGATAAAATCGGATATTTTGGTCAAAGAAAACAGAATTTGAACGACATTATTGGCTAAAGGCGAGAAATTACTGACACCGTGTCCAAACTGCCCTGGCGAGACAAACAAACAAACGAAGCACCACCGAAATTCCTCAGAGCGACAAACACCCGAACTCTCGATCCCAAACAATGTTACACAAAGAACAAACGAGAGAAACGGCTCATAAAACCACAAACAGAACAGCAAATAATCTACGAAAGACGAAACAAAGAAAGGAAGAGAAGAAGAATGGAAGACGAAGGACCGACGCAGAAGCACTTCCTGAACAACAACAAAAACAAACAACAACAAAAATCTATTAATTTGGATCAAACGTGTTTCGCAAAGACAGCGAGACAAAAGAGAAGAGGAAGGAGGAAACAAACAACAAAAAACAGAACAATTTCCAAAGGCAAATAGAGGGAAAGAGGGGAGAAGGGAAAGAGGGAAATGGAAGGAAAAAGGGAAGAGGAGAGATAGGAAAGAAGGGAAAATGGGATAGGGAAGAAGAGAGTGGAAAGAGAAAACACGGGGAGAGAGAGAGAGAGTAACCGAGAAAGAGGAAAAAGGGAGAGTGAAATTGGAAAACACAAGCGAAAAATGAGAAAAGGAAATAGGGAGAATGAAAGCGAGAAAAGGAAAACAAAAAATAGGAAAATGGAAAAGGGCAAAAAAGAATAGGAAAGAGGGAAAACCAAAGCGAGAAAAGGGGAGAGGGGAGAGGGGCGAGAGAGCAGGAGGGGACGCGAGGCCGGCCACCGACAAGGGGCTGCATAGGCCTACCGTCCGGCGCCAAAGCTCCGGCCAAAAGTCTTTCCGCATGGCCTTTGTTGTCGCTCAAGTTCGCTTTTGCGCTCGCCCAGGCTATCTGTGGCTGGTTTGTTGGTGTTGGTGTTGGTGGTGGTGTTGTTGGTGTTGGTGTTGGTGGTGGTGGTGTTGGTGTGTTGGTGGTGGTGTTGGTGGTGGTGTTGTTGTTGGTGTGGTGTTGGTGGTGTTGGTGTTGGTGTTGTTGTTGTTGGTGTGTGTTGTTGTTGGTGGTGGTGTTGGTGTTGGTGTTGGTGTTGGTGGTGGTGGTGTTGGCGTGGCGGTGTTGGTGTTGGTGTTGAGGTGGTGTTGGTGTTGTTTGGTAGTGGTGTTGGTGGTGGTGTTGGTGATGGTGGTGGTGGTGGTTTGGTGTTGTGGTGGTGTTGGTGTTGGTGGTGTTGGTGTTGGTGGTGGTGTTGGTGGTGGTGGTGTTGGTGTTGGTGGTGTTGGTGCTGGTGTTGGTGTTGTGGTGTTGGTGTTGGTGTCGGTGTCGGTGTTGGTGTTGTTGGTGGTGTTGGTGGTGGTGTTGGGTTGGTGTTGGTGTTGATGGTGTTGGTGTTGTTGTTGGTGGTGTTGATGGGTGTTGGTGTTGTTGTTGGTGGGGTGGTGGTGGTGGTGATTGTGGTGGTGGTGGTGGTGCCGGTGGTGTGGTGGTGTTGGTGGTGGTGGTGGTGTTGGTGTTGGTGGTGTTGCTGGTGCGGTGCTGGTGTTGGTGTTGGTGGTGGTGGTGTTGGTGTTGGTGGTGTTGGTGTTTGGTGTTGGTGTTGGTGTTGGTGTTGTTGTCGTTGTTGTTGTTGTCCCGACGCATTGTCAATGTCTGCTCTGAGGCCTCGCTGTTTTTTTGGCTACGTTTTCTCTTCTTTCTTTTCTTCTTCTTCTTCTTCTTCTTCTTCTCTTTTCTTCTTTCTTCTTCCTTCTTCTTTCTTCTTCTTCTTCTTCTTCTTCACTTCTCTCTCCTTTT